GGAGTTTTCTCCCTAGTTTTTAGCTGTTGTGCAACTGCAACCACAGTCTTTGTTAACCAGCCACCTCTAATAATCATACATTTATATAGGACATTAGAGTGTCCAAAACAAGTTCATGCACAATCCCAGTAATCCTTCCAACAGAATAGTGACATGTCTAAGGATACCTAGTGAATTCATGGTTATGGGGAATCTGGACCAAGGATTTTCAGGCTCATAGGTCATACTTGTAGTCACTATACAACTCATTCATGACTCTTTTGTCTGATGTCTTGCAAGGAAGGCCTGGCTGACAGGTTGGTGACCTTTGCCATTGTGACCCAGTTCTCCTTCAGAAAACGTATTCTTTTCTCTGTCATATGCAAAACACCACAGTTTACACCATATTTTATTGGACTCTGATTAGTCTGAACAGCCCCTTCCTGCTGCATACATGCTCCGTGAACCATCAGAACATTCTAGACTTGATATATCCGGTCTATGGATTGGCGATGGCGGTCGCTCTCCCCAGAGCTTTGGGAGGCGATTAGCACACCATCGGCATGGAGGGGTGCCACCTCAAGTAGCACTCACACGGAACCTTTGTGAAAGGCTCCAGGCCAGAGAGCTTTGAGGGATAGCCTCTTCGATGGCTTGCTGCCGGAGAATCGAGGCTTCTCTTCGCTCTGACCATCCTACCGATGAGTGGCCTTAGGGCACAAGCTAACCCGACCGGGACAAGCGGGGGAGACCGAGCGGAACAACGATTGATGTGAGCGAGGTCAGGAATGTGACCAACAATGAACGGGAGTTCTAAGTAAATGGACTTTGATAAACAGCACACACACACCCTGTGGGAAAAGCGGAGCACAAAGAGAGACGCCTCTGAAGCGCAAGGACAGATAAATGCGGCGAAGGGTGAGTGGGAGGAAACAGACAGTGTGTGTATTTTGAGAGACTTACTTGAGTGCAAATAGCGAATTGACGAGTGCTTCGAGCCCGGGAGAAACGGTTTGAAAGTGTAAACAAAGTTGAAAAATGGCGGCATCCCAAGGAAAGTTTAAAGCAAAGCCTGGTAGTCAGAGTCCAAGGCCGGAAGAGGGAGCTGACGTCATGAAGCTGTTAGCGGATATGCTCAAGCCAGTGATGGATCAGCTTGATGGTATTAACCAGCAACTGACCTCATTAAATCAAAACTTTGCTTCACAACAGCGACAGCTGGCAGAAACGGAAAAAAAGTGGAGCTGGTGGCTGAGAAAGTTACAGAGATGGACACCTCAAGCAAGAAGATGAAGAAAAGAATGGGTGAAGTGGAAACGAAACAAAATCTTCAAGAAAATTGTTTGTTGCAGCTGCAAATGGAAAATGCTAATATGATTCTCAGGTTCCAGGGGGTTCCTGCGACAGAAAAAGAAGATTTGAAGAAGACTCTGGGTGAGATTATTGCTCCAGTGACAGGCTTGCCAGCGGAGGAAATAATAAAAGACATGGAGACAGCTTATAGGGCTTACTCCAATTATATTAAAAAATATAGCCTGCCTGGAGAGATTGTGGTGAGATTTGCAAGAAGACAGACCAGAGATGCTATATTAAAGGCAGCTTCAGCAACTCCACTGAAATTTGGGAATACAATTATCAAGACTTTAAAAGACATTCCATTTGAAATTCGTCAGAAGAGAAAGAGCTACAAGGAGTTAATTACTTTTCTTCAAACAAACGGTATACAGTACAGGTGGGTGATTCCTGAATGTGTCATCTTTAAAATCAATGATAGAAGGGAGAAGATAGACTCTTGAAAGGAATTCTTGAAACGCCAGCTGGGATCGGGGGAAGAATCTAAAGAGGAAGAAACTAAGTCAAGTGACTCAGCTGCCTCGGGAATGGATGAGGACTCTGCTGCAGAAGCGGATGCAGGAGCAATGAAAACTGTATATGATTTTAGAGACAGAAAGCCGAAGTAAGGGCAGAAGGACTCTGATAAATGGCTCTTTGAAATAAAGAAGATGCTCAGAAAGTTCTCTCATAATAACTAATTTACTAATATAGAACAATGTGAAAAACAAGAACTCTACAAGTATATTGTTTTACTAACTCTTTTAATACTAATATTAAGGTTAACATAAAGGGGGTCTCCCACTCTTGGGTTTTTAGTTAGTGTGGGTTTCTTTCCTTTATCCATAGTTGTAGTTCCCCTTCCTATATTTTTCTTTGTAGTTTGTAGTCTTATTGAAAAAATAAAAATAACCCTCCGGGGGTTTTAAAAAAAGAAAAAGAAAGAACATTCTAGACTTCAGAAAAATCAAACCAAACTCCATTAAGTATTATGATGCTGCTCCCTCAGATGTTTCAGTTAAAGTTTTCAAAACGTAAAGTCAGCACACCCTTCTCCTACTCTGAACTTATTTGGTCACATGTGAAATAATGAGCTAATTTAAACAAGAGTGTTGACTTCAGTACACGGTAGCCACAAGGGGGAGGGGGACTCCCCCTCTTTTAAAATATTGCTATTTTAAGCAAGACAAATTCATTTGGATTTCAGAGTCATTACTGACTTTGCCTATTCTTTTCTGCAGGTGTTTCTTTTTTAATTTATAAGAGAGAAGATTTCTAAAAAATCAGAAGAGACCGAAAAGCCAACCAGGACAGCCCAGGCCCCAGCCTTGGGTTCAGTTAGTCAATTTACATGAACCAGTTAACTGTGTAGATCAAGCAGAAAACAGACTGCTTTGCAGAAAGATGCCCACAGAGAAAATAACGCCATATGAATCAAATATGCATGAAGAACCAGCTAACCCCGCCACATGACCTGACAATAACTTGTTTTTATGCTGTCTGATGATTTAATAGTGTTTGCTATGGTTTTAGTACAACTGTTTTAAAGTTCTTTTGAAGAGGGTTTGTTTGCTGGTTTTACTGTTTTATATGATGGCTTTATGAGTATTTTATTGTTATTGTGTTTGATGGTTCCTTATTAGATTAATTGTAATCTTTGCTGAGAACCTGTTTGACAGAGGGGCAGGGTTAAAATAAGTGCCATGAGACTCCTTTTCGCTTTTGCTGCTACATGGCTACTCTTCTAGATTCTTCTCTAGCTATACAAGTTCATTATGTCCTCCAAAGAAGTCAGAAGGGGGGGGAGTTAATTTAATGACCACCATGTGGAAAAGAAGCTAATGTACAACATAACTTTCAGTTAGGTTATTTATTCCCACTGTGATCCTGTGAAACTATATTAGAATTTATAAACTTTTTTGTGATTCCCCACAGAATTTTTTGTAATGGCTAGTTTGTAGTTCCTGGTTCTTAAATTTGCTGCTGTCTTTAACCAAAACTGCTCTTCCCCCTGTAGTGTGCTATATTTATAAAGTACTATTATATATTTCTACTTTTTCTCTAAGCTAAAACATTATTCGCTTCGTTTTATTTGTTCACCAGAAAAGTTTAAAAATGCGGTAGGTGTTTGTGACCACACTATGATGAAATAAGCATTAACTGCAACTCAAGAAATTTTTACCAGCGATTCCCAACTAAAGATGTACACTTACATAGATTCCAGAAAGTATTTGTTTTGCATTCTGTTCTCCCAATCACAAGAAAGGCTAAACAGGTTATAAAGAAAACCCACCACTTCTGACTGGATTTCTCTCACTCTCTTTTGGCAATGTATTAACATTATTTTGCAAACAGTATGTGTGACTCATGATGCACTGAAAAATGACAGAAACCAGTCTAGTAAATCTTGGTAGGACCCCAAGTTATTAACATTAAATCTATGGAGAATATCATTAGTAGTGGATACAATGTAAATAGACTGAACAGTTGCCTGCAAATAAGGAAGTATGAATTAAAAACTGAATGGTGGAATACATTTCAAATGTGTGCATTGCTAACTATACCTCACCTCAGAAAACAATTTCTATCATATACACAACCAAGACAGACACACCTTCCTTATAAAACAACTATTTATATTCCTAGTTATAACCGGAGTTTGTAGATACCTCAGGTAACTGATTGTTTAGACAGAAAACACTTTCTCAAACAATGTTTAAAAAGTTAAAGGAATACAACAATGAGGAGGAGCAAGCAGTTCCTGTAGTAAAAATACTGGACATAATCCAGACTTGAGCACTGTTCAACCGCAAGGTAGGTATGTGCTTAACAACACTACCCGTGAAATCAGCAGGGCTGAAATGTACTTCATTTGGACTAGACTGTACTTTTTACTGTAAATAAGCTGATTTTTTTTACTGCATCTCCGATTAAGAACATGCAGAGGTTATACAGTTTTGCCTACTACTCCTAGAGAAAAGTGTTCAATGCTACACTACCCAGATCCCTGCAATACCGCACCCTCTCCTCTCATGCACTCCCTTGTATTATCCTGCGAAGACATGCAGCATACTGGTACTAAATGGATTTACACTGAAGCTGCCTTTTTAAGCCTCCAGCTGTGCTGCAAACCAAAATACAGTTTCACAAACACACATAGTGAGACACGGAGATAGAGAGACAGAGAGCAGACACCACTATCTGAGGGACCTTAAAGCTGAAACCCCAATCTATTTTCTTAAATGAATGCTTCCTCTGATGCTTTTTAAACTGTCTGGCCTTGCTGTCAAGGCTATATAACATTCTCTTCTCTCCCTCTTTTTTTCCTACATGGTATCTGTCAGAGGAGGAAGCAACCTTCTGTAGACAAATATTTGTCCAAAGCAATAAAACAAAAGCGACATATGGAATGAAATCAGACACACACACACTCTCTCCTCTCTCTTTCCCCCCTCTCTTTCATCCACGGATTCTGCCTTAAATAAGACCATCTTTTACAGGAAGGATTCTTTTCAAGACAAAAAAAAAAAAGACATAGCAGAGCGAGAAGCAGAGCGACAAGCTGCAGCTCTTCCCCGGGACCTCACTTACCTTTCTGAGCCATATTGTTTCCTGCTTCAGAAAGGGCAAGAAATCTACCCAACATTAAGAATTGGCTGTCTAAACATCAGTGCTGGCCAGCTCCTTACCGTATAGCGTGCTTCTGGTAAGCTGTCCCCCCATCGTACTGCGCAAGGTGGCTTGGCTACCTTGCAGTTTCCTCTCTCACTGGGCAGAGATGCAGAACCTCAGGCGTGCATTCATTCTCAGCATGCAAGACACAAGGCACCCTCCAACACAGAGGGATTTTAATGACTCTCAATAAATACACACTCTTGCACATACGACAGAAGCCTGTGATCAGCCTCCACCCACTTTCCGACCCTCTCCGGCTCAGCAGTAAGCAGAGGCATATGTCATGATTATTTACATAAGGAGGAGGTTTGCGACTCTGGAAGAGCTAGCGAAGCTTACAGCAGTTTACAGACACAGGCAGCATCCCAGACCCAGAGCAGCTCAAGGGCAATTCCCCACGCCTCTTCCATCAACCTCTATTCTGTTTCCCCTAGCCCAGGATCTCACCTCAAATAAATCACTGGGAGAAATGCAGGGGGTGGCTGCCTTCTGGAAGCGGTGGCTGCTTGCCTAGCTATGCACCCTTGCTTCTAAGCAAGCACAAACTGAATTGCGACTACAAACCAGATTTATAAATCAAATGGCTGGTTGCCAGTGAAAATTTCTTCATCCTTTTGAAATTGAAAGATAAAAAAGAAACTTAAAAATACTTTCAGAAATGTAACTTTTAAACTTTACATCCATGAGGGGCGGGAGAGAACCCTGTGGCTACATTACAGATTCCAAAGCCAGTTAATTATTACTCCTTTAAGAACAAGGGAGAAGTAACTGAAATGCAGAATGTTTCAGCCCAGAATGTATGACAGTGAAACCATTCCTCCCCCCCAGCCCTGTCCCCCCTCCCTCCCTATGCAGGCTTTGGTTGGTTACCTTTGTGGGGATGGTTAGGAATTTTTCACCCCTCCTTTGATTGGCACGGAAGGGGGGGGTGTTTTTGCCTACCTTGCACTGTCATCTGGTGACTATAGGAAACTGAATGTGGTGGTTCCATGGAAAAAGATCAGTCACTTGGCAGATCAGTGCGGAAAAAGGGGAAACAGATCTGGTGAGTACCATACGGCACCTTCCCTGGTGTGAATCAAGGGGTCCGTCACGCTCAACCTTTGGGTTTCACGGCCCAGGGCAGCAAATGAGGACTGCCTTTGGGACCACCCTAGCTAGGCCCTTCCCTCTAAGTTCTGCAGCTGGGGGGGGGAGCCCCGGGGCAGCACCCATCTGCTATGCCAGCCAGTGGCAAGCCAAAGGGATGGCTCACACCTGGGGCAAAGGTGGCTCGCCCAGCATATGGCAAGGAAGTGGTCTGGAGCGACCCCTGGCCTTGACCTATTTCCACACTAGGGGTTTACCCTTGCTGCAGAGTTGTAAATACTCAATAACTAGCCTGCTACCCATGCTTCGTTATGGTATTTAAGTTCCGTAAATCCAGTTATAATACTGATGATGTGAAGTTTGAAATGTTGTGGGAATTCTAACGGAGAAGATTGTAGTGTAAGAAATGAAGAAATGAAGAAACTGAGAAGATTGTAGTGTAAGAAATGAAGAAATGAAGTACATACATACTTTCCCCCTCTCTACTGAAGGACCTCTCTCTAGACCACATTGGTAGTTCTGCCCTCAGGTGCTGGGATCTCCAGGCTGCTTGATGAGCTCACTCTGGAGCAGGCCACATAGAACTGTCCATTTAAGAAGCAGTCATCTGTTAAGTCAGCTCCTGCCACCTTCCACGAAAATGATGGCCTCTCTACTTGTGTTCCTGGATTGTTATGCTCATATGGAGACTGTGTTGTTCTGAGCACCTCATGGTGATCTTGCTGGCACTTGGCCTGTGCAGCTCAGTGCACTGCAGGAGTGCTATGTGCAAATGTCTTTGCCGCATTCCTAAGTTGCCTCCTCCTTGTAGCATTGGTGTATTTGGCTCAATGTTTGCCAGGAGCTTTCTTGAGGGCAGTAAGAGGTGAGAGGTGTGAGGGGGAGTTAGTGTGAGAGAATGGTGATGTGGTGTACATTTCTTTAGGTTCATGAGGGAGGCACGCATCGAAATGGCTCCTAGAAATGTCCTTTACAATCTCCCCATAAACATTCATACCCTGGCCCTGCTCCTACACCTGACAGACACCGGCCTGTCTGGTGTTGTGGGGGATTGCATTTAAAGGCATTGGGGAGGCTGGGCCAGCAGCAGTGCTAAGGCAATCCTGCTGAGCGAACCTCCCCGGTGGCTGTAAGCATCCCACCTCCTCTCCTACACCTGACAGGCAACTGCCTGTCCAGTGTAGGAGGGGGAGGGGGAGGAGTATTAGAAGCCACTGTGGAGGTGGGGCTGCACCCGACAGACAACTGCCTGTTAGGTGTAGGAGGTGGGGGAGTGTATTGGAAGCCATCCCACCTCCTCTCGTACACCTGACAGGCAGCTCCTGAGATTGGCAACAGTGGTTCCCCAGAAGGGAATGGCTGGTTGGGAGGGTGGAGTCTATGGCATTGTACCTGTCTGAGGTCTCACCTCTCCTGAAACCTCACGCTCTCCAGGCTCCATCCCTCAAATATCCAGGAAATTTCCACCTGGAGTTGGCAACCCTATATCCTTCCCAGCCAATCATCAACCTACCTTTATTTCCCCTTCTCTCTTCAACTTTCCATTTCACACACACACACACCTGCAGCCTCTTCCATGCTCTAAAGCCCTGACTGCCACAGAGTCCACCATTTTCTCTAGGGGAACTGATCTCTGCCATCTGGAGAGCAGTTGTAATTCTGAGTGATCTCCAGCCCTCACCTGGAGATTGGCAACAATGGTTTCCCAGGAGAAAAGTAGTGTTTTTCTGCACTGGGGACCAAAGCAGCTTACATCACTCTCCTCCCCCCTGCTGACTTGTACAACATCCAGTCCTCTCCTCTGTTGATGTGCACAACAACCCTGTGAGGTAGGTTATGCTGAAAGTCTGTGACTGGTCCAAAAATCACCCACTCAGCTTCTACAGCAAGAACCTGGATCTAGAAGACTCTGCTCTGAAGCACTGACTGCTATGCCTAGGGCAGCCAACCTCCAGGTGGAGTCTGAAGATCACCAGGTATCACAACTGAACTCCAGACAACAGATCTCTCCCCCCTGGAGAAAATAACTGCTTTGGAAGGTGGGCTGTATAGCATTTTGTTCAGCTGAGTTCCTCACAAAGGCCTGCAAAGGGTTTCCTTCCTTTGCCTGAAGCAAGCTTGGTTGCCTACCGTGGCGAAACAGGCTCCAGTTTACAACTCAGCTTTTTGCTTCCCACCCATGGGTGTATCTCACTCCTTAAGTTCGCTGCCACCACTTATGGAATCATCACTGCCTTTTTAGTGGGACAGTGAGACCCCTCTGGCTGAATCTCCCTATTTGGAGATGGAATCCCCAATCTTTGGGGGATCCCTGGAAAGTTGGCAACCCATTGAGCACAACACAGATTATTAGCCCAAATTATAGAATTTACTGTTATGGAGCACACACACACTATAGGAGTAAGCACACACGCATAAATCAACAGGGGTTAAACGCAATCCTCTTTCCCTACACACAATACTCTCTACCTCTGGAGGTTGTGGACTCACCTGTACTTCATCCTCTCTCTCTTGCCCAAGAGAGCAGGGAAACTTCCATTCATTCCCCAGTCCAGCCAACTGTGGAGTGGCTGAATTGAACTACAGCTCAATTAAACCTGATGGGGGAACATTTTAAACAAAGAACCACAGCCATCTTACAAACACAGGTAACTGCCATTTCGTGACACCTACCAATAGCCACTGAGGGGAACGTTAGTCCCACACAGGAAAAGCATCTTTGTCAAGAGAGAAAGCCATTTGCCAGTAATTCTGACAGGGCATAGTGGCTGAAGGGGGAGTGGGCAGGGAAGAGGAGCAGACCCAGCACCCAGCCAATGGCACACAAGTACTCTTGAGTGGCGGCTGATGGGCCAATGGCTGAAGGAGAGCATTGCCACACCAAAACAGGATTATTATATAGGAGAGATGGTGTTTTTGTGCATACAGGGGCATACTGGCACAAAATTACACAACACACATTAAAAATCTTGATACCAATCATTTATGCAATCACAGCAAGGTGACTCTTCACAATGCTTTGTCGGTTTGCATATATACAGTAGTAACATACTTCTTTCTCCCCAATATATGAGCTGAAGGACTGGAATGCTATGGCAAACTGTTCAGGATCCAATTCTGGAATTAGTTTTAGACATTCATTTTGTTGAACTGAAAATTAGGGAGAAGGTGAACAGTACAGCAAGAGATGCTAAAATAAAGAAATGGAATGAGGGAAATTCACCATGCTGACATAAAATCAAACTAACTCCTCACAAATCTTCCAAATACAACATGCCCTTGACAGACCAACACAGTGGGCATAAACCCAGGAAAAGTTATGTGCTCTTTGGGATTTTGTTTGTTTTCGTATTGTGTTTTAATGATATTTTTAAAATTTTTATTGCATTTTTATAAGCTGTGTTGGGTCCCCATGGGAGAAAGGCAGTCCAGTTTTTGCCCTGCCCACGGACAGAGATGGTGCTGGTTGCCCTGTCAGATGATCTCCGGAGTCACCTGGATCAAGGCAGATCGGTGCTGCTGATACTTCTTGATCTGTCAGCAGTGTTCGATATGATTGACCATGATATGTTAACCCACCGCCTTGCGGATAAGGGGGCTTGCCTTGCAGTGGCTGACCTCCTTCCTCCAAGGTTGGGGACAGAGGGTGGCACTTGGGGGAGAGTTATCCCAATGGCACTCATTGGAATGTGGTGTGCCACAAGGAGCAATTCTCTCCCCCATGCGATTTAACATCTATATGTGCCCACTCACCCAGATTATCCAGAGATATGGGCTGGGATGTCACCAGTATACGGATGACACCCAGCTCTACCTACTGATGGATGGCCACCCAGACACGGCCCCAGCTGATCTGGACAGGGCGTTACAGGCTATGGCTGGATGGTTACGACAGAGCCAACTGAAGTTAAATCCATCTAAAACGGAGGTCCTGCACCTGAGTCATGGGGGATTGAGTCAGGGAATCAGGCTCCCAACCTTTGATGAGGCTCCATTGGTGCCAACGTTGAGGGTGAACGTCTGGGGGTGTTCCTGAATGCTTCCCTCTCTATGGAGGCCCA